AAAGCTGAAGGACTTGACTACGCCCCGAATCCCTAAACCCTAAAACCCTAAGCCCTAAAAATCTAAACCCTCAACCCTCAACCCTAAACCCTAAACCCTAAACCCTAAACCCTAAGCCCTAAAACCCTAAACCCTCAACCCTCAACCCTAAACCCGCCCGCTCTGCCAGAAATCCCAAACGGACTGCACCCTGAACTCTGGAACTCCTGAACTCGCAAGTCGGAAACCATTCTAAGGTCCTTATAGACCTACTTAGGGTTTAGGGTTTAGGGTTTAGGGTTTAGGGTTTAGGGCTTAGGGCTTAGTATATACCCTAGATGTACCCTTAAGGGTCCCTAGAAAGGCCTAAGGGTCCATATTAGGGACCCTAGAACCATAGCGTACCGTAGTCTCTCATTCGGTTGGGGTTGAGTCTGTTGGGGGTTTCGGACGTGCTGAGGGTGCAGTTTATGGGTTTAGGGTTAAGGGTTTTTAGGGTTTGGGCTTAGGGGTTTAGGGTTTAAGGTTTAGGGTTTAGGGGTTTCGGGTTTAGGGTCTATGGAATCTCTATGTCATCTGCAGGCATCAGGAGTCCTTCATCTTCAATGACTGCACGGGCATCTCTCCTGACAAGTGTGAACAGGGTCTTGCCAGCCAAACTTTCAAAACGCCGTACTTCACTAGGGTTTAGGGTTTAGAAGATCCTCTTCAGACCATGCAGCAAAGTGAAGGTTGGAGCTTAGGCTTGAAGGCTTCTGTACAGTCTAGGTCTAGGAAAGTGGGTAGGGTTTAGGGTTTAGGATTTAGGGACCCAACATTTTCGGGCGCAGAAGCGTGCATGAAGCAAAATACAAACACCTCTCAAGAGTATCAACGGACCAAGATGCCACAGCCACAAGCCCAAAGACGAGCGTCGAGGTTGTCTGTCCAACCCTAACAAATTGCAACAGCCCAGGTGGACCAAAATATTCAAACGGTCTTAAACCAGAACCATTAAACAAAACTCGAAGGCATACTACAGGGGCTTAATAATTCGAATAGGTTTTGGGGCCAGTATACTGTGATTATGATAAGGAACCCCAAAAATAGTCTTGGTAACTATTCAGGCCCCTACATTATCGTCAAGTACAAAAAAGAATACATCGTTCCCCAGAAGGGGACCTGGTTTGTGCAGTCTGGGCTTCTTCAGCGGCTGCCTGGGCACGGGAACAAGCCAAAGCGAGCGGTTTAGGGTTTAGGGTCTCGAAAATCAAATGATAATGACTAGTGAGTGTGTTTAGGGTTTAGGGGACAGTGCGTGTGTGGGTGTGTTCAGGCTTGGCAGGCCTAAACATTCGACGAGGCAGGTTGATTCTAATCATCGACCGAATCCAGGAGAGATTATTCGTTGATGCTGTTGATGAATTATCACCTCCCGGCGTTGAAGACATTTGCAAACGTAAAGGTCAGGCCCTTGGCGGCCTTTTGGTTTCGCAACGTGTTTAGCACAGTCTCATCCGGATGCTGAGGATTGAGAAGGAGCTGCTGATTGAGCCGAGGTCTTGCTAGTCTCAGAGCAATTCAAAGGTTCTCGGTTCATGCCGGGCCGTGCAGGCTCGTGTTGTCGGCATTAGCATTTGCAAGGTCTTGCGGTTCACTCTTGAAGATTAACATTGTTGCTCTGTTGAAGATGTTTGTCCAGTTCGCTGCATTTGCATTGTAGATGGACGGCATCTGGTTTGGTGACCGCTTCAGGCTCGTAGTAGTGTTTCCGGGTGCAGCAACTGTTGCGTGGTCAATGCTACCACGCGTCTGTAGCAGGGCTTCGCCTGTCCTTCAGGGTTCAACTTATGAGCTGCGAACTTCCGCCATGGATTAGACATGTTGACATGCTAGTCTGCGTTCGGCACGCAGCTTTGGCTTGAGGCTTTGGGCTTTCGGGGTGCAGGCTTTCAAGCTTGAAACTTAGGGTTCAGGTTGGGGGCGTGTGGCTTACAGCTCCAAGCTTCGGGGTAACCCCGACCCCCAGCCGCAAGCCTAAAAGCCCTACAAGCCCAATTATCTGCCAGCTCAGAAGCCGAAAATACCCCGGGAAGGGCCTTTTAAGTATCAAGCCTCTGAGGTGTAGAGGAAATTTAAACAAGGATCTGCTCCCGTCTCGAAACGAAAAAACTCACTGACGTGGCATCCGAGATCGATATTGTTTGGATTACTAACCTACAAGGGCTATGTTGAGGATTGTTACCAGGGTTACTACAAGGATTACTAACTACAAGGCCTATTTTGAGGATTCCTACCAGGGTTTCTATAAGGATTGCAACCAATATATATATATATATATATGTACACACATACATATATATATGTATATATACTTATCTATTTATTTATAGGGGGGTGTAGGGTTGTAGCTCAAGACTATGACATGTCTGCATCGCATCCTGAGGGTTGGAAGCCGTGAACTCCCGAAGCCCCAAGAGCTGGCACTGGAATCCTACACCCTAAACCCTAAACCCTCTAAACCCCAGAATCCCCAAATCCTAGACATTAAATCCCTGAACCCTAAACCCTCTAAACCCCAGAATCCCCAAATCCTATCCCTGACCCCTAAACCCTAAACCCTAAACCCTAGAATCCCCAAATCCTAGGCCTTGAACCAATGAACCCTACACTCGAAACCCAGAATCCCCAAATCCCAGGCATGAAATCCCTGAACCCTAAACCCTCGAAACCCTAAACTCCCCAAATCCTAGGGTCCTAGACCTTGACCCAACGAACCCTAACCCTACAACCTCTAGGCTTAGCCCTCCCCCCGAAGCCAGGACAGCTGCAGCATGCTGGGCAGCTTCTTCTTTGAGACCGTCGCCTGGCAAGCCATGCGCTGAAACAGGGCTCGGAGTACCACGGTTTAGAGTTTAGGGTTTAGGGTTTAGGGTTTAGGATTTAGGGTTTAGGGTTTAGGGTTTAGGGCCAGTAGGCTCCCAAACCTTTGGTGGCTTTAGTTTTTGGGCTGCAGGAGCTGGGGGTTTGGGGTTTAGGGCTGGGTCTTTAGGGTAACCTCCGAAAATTCCTCCAGGAAAGGCATACCGCAGGATGCCGACCTGCAAAGGGATGCACTTAAAATTGAACCTCTATTGCTTCACAGACTTCTGCTCCCATACCCCGATCTGCAACACTCCCAACGCAGTTTGGCCCAGGACAACCCTAAACCCGAACCGGCTACACCCACCCTCACCCCTCTCAACCCCACGTTCCAGTCAAAGGTGCCCAAACCCATGAGTCCCCACGGTTGAGAAAAACCAGCAAAGGCCGAAACCTCCAAATTCCTGAGCCCTTTGTACTGCAAACCATCCCCGGCTCCCTTCGCCACCTTGAGCACGCTGAGGGAGCCGACCATGTCGACGAGACATACATAGTCCTCCCCTGAGCAGGGGGTGGGCCCTGACTCCCATGTCTCGCTTTGCAGGGAGTCTAGGGTTTTAGGATGCTTTAGGCCCCAAAAGGCATTTGGGTTCGAGGATGCTTCGCGTCAAGAGAAGGGTGTGGGGGGGATTCGGCTTTAGGGCTTGGGGCTTGGCTTTGCAGCATCGGTTGTAGTAGTTTCAGGTCTTCTGGGTACGGACTGGGGACTATAGGGCTGAGCACGGAACTACGTATAAGTCTGGAACTAGACTTTGAAGTAACCAGGGAGAAAAAAGCAGAGACTTTTATTTTCATAAGGGTTCCCTTGAGGAACAGGTCCCAAAAAAAAAGTATTCAAGTATGGTACTCCAGAACCAGGGGAACATAAACTTAAACCTTCAGCCGAAGGACGATAGTCCGAACCCCAAAAACCCCTAAGCCCGTCAAGCCCTAGACCCTAGGCCCTGGACCCTAAACACACGTGGCTGTCTCCCGTGTCGTTTCGGCAGGAGATTCCATTCCGTGCAGTGCGCTTGCTTCTCGACATGGGTCCGGGAATGAGTGTAAAGCTTGGCTTGCACGCTCTGGGCATGTGTGCATCAAAGGAGCTGCCTGGACTGGTTTAACATGCACTCCACAGGCACGCTGGGAGTCATTGACTTCTCGAAAGACTGTAAATGGCACTTTCTTCAGGTACAATGTCACTAGCTTGCGCGGATCATTAGACATAGTTGGCATTTGTGCAACGGCACAAGCACCAAAAGGCACTCTTCTCCACCAGAGCCGTCGGCAATCTCTTACGACTTTGCACAGGTAGCAGAGCATTCCCGTTGAGCAAATCCAGCTCAAATGGCACGTTAGCAAGCACAGAATGAAGCCAGGGTGCTGCGCTCAGCCGCAACGATGGCATACAGGCTCGACGCAGCCATAGAAAGTAGAACCCCCAATTTGCGACCATATACTAGTAAACTGTAATGTATGGGAAAACCCAGTTACACTTTGCGGGATCTACACATCATGGGGTCCATAGCACGGAAGCCCTGAATGTCTCAACCCATGTCAGATCACAAGAACTCCAAACAGGCACCTAAAACCTAGTTTCTTTCATCTCATATCCCGACAAGCGATGGGTTCCAATAGTTTGCATGTTGGCGCCTTGTTGCTAGAGGCCTAGTGGTCACAAATAGCGGGACTTAGGCTCTAAACCCTAAACCCTAAACCCTAAACCCTAAACCAACACCCTGAACCCTAAACCCTAAACCCTAAATCCCAAACCCTAAACCTAAACTTTAAACCCTAAACCCCAAACCCTAAACCCTAAACCTCAAACCCTAAACCCTAACCTTAAACCCCAAACCCTAAACCCTAAAGGAAGGCCTGAACTGGAAGCGCGTCGTCGACTTGGAAGGCCG